AATCAAGGTAAACTAGAATAGTCTTCTGAAAGAAGTTTAATTGAAAATCATGCTTATCCTTTTAACCCAGTGATTCTTGATATCTATGGTCTCAGAATGTCCTTACCCTCTTCAAAATACTGAGGACTGACAGCTTCTGCTTACCTGGGTTATATCTGCCCATAATGAGAGGGGTGGCATTGTTTGAGAGTTCCACCAATCCCATTAATGGCTGGCTTTATAGAAGGCACGGGGGTCTCTTATGTCTTCTCCATTTAGTCTGTTGTGTATCACATACAGGCAACCCCTGCAATACTCCTTGGCCCACTTGTAGAGAATGGGAATGAAAAGGCAAATATCATTTTAACATTATATAGAAATAGTTTTGACCTCACAAATCTCCTGAAGGATTTCCCCAGTCTGTACTTTGAGAACTACTGCTCTAATCTCTAAATCTCTTCTTGCCTCACATGAAGATATACAAACACTTCAAATTCAGGATATAACTGATTCATTTTTATATTCTTATTGTCAGTTACATGATGTGACCCTGTCGTTCAGAATTATTCCCACTGGACCCTAATTGCTCTACATTTAAGTATAGTTAATTAGAAAGCATTTTGATTGAAGCTTCAGAAAGTCTGATTTTGCTGCTACCTGTCTGTATGACCTTAGCTCAGGGACCTTGGGTAGGTCCATTGTCCCCTCTGGACCTTAGTTCTTGCCAAATAGATATGTATGTCCTTATCTTATAGAACTCCTTAAAGATCAAACTGGATGGGGGCTGGGGATTTAGCTTGGCGGCAAAGCGCCTGCCTGGCAAGCGCAAGGTTGTGAGTTCAGTTCCCGGTACCGGAGAAAAAACAAAAAGAAAAGAAAGATCAAACTGGATGGTAGACATGCAAACACTCATAGAATATAGATATAATAAAATCTTTCATTCCTTGAGGATCTTTCTAATTAAGCTTACTGGCAAAATTTAGATATACATAATGATCATATTCATTGTAGGGAATTTGTACCTGTACATGACATATCTTCATTCCTTTTTTTTCCTATTCCCCTCCCTTCAACCTCTCTTCCCCTCCTTATTTACAAGAGCTTTGTTTCCATTTTTCCTCCTTTTTTCATTTTTTTCTTTTCCCTTCCTTCCTTTCCCCACTCCCTGATCCCCACTTCCCCTTCTGATTTGAACAACTTCTTCCTATTTCACAATATGTAGTATACATTTTGGACCTTATTTACACTTCCAGTTTCTCACACCAGAGACACAGTGCAATATTTACACATGCGGGTCTGATTTATTTCACTTAAGAGTATGGTCTCAAGGTCCATCCATTTACCTAGAAATGTCTCAGGTTTATCTTTCTTTATGGCAGAGTAATACTCCACTGTATTAAAAAAAAACAAAGCACATCTTCTTTATCCACTCATTGGTTGATGGGCATTTGAGTTGTTTCTAAGATTTAACTGTTACAAACTGCTGCTATAAACGTGGGTACACATATATTGCTATGGTAAGGTGTTTTTAATTCTTTCCAGAAGATAACAAGAAGGAGAATAGCTGGATCAATGGGAACCTCTAGTTTTAGTTTTTTGAGGAATCTCCACAGTGGTTGCACCAGTCTACAGTCCCACCACCAGTGGAGAAGTGTTCCTTTTCTCCCCACAGCCCCACCAGAATTTGTTACTGGTTGTTGTCTTTGACAATAACCATTTTTTTGGAGTGAGATAGAATCTTAGCATTGTTTTAATTTGCATCTTCCAAAAGACAAGTGATGTTTAACATTTTTTCATATATTTATTTGCCATTTCTACTTCTCTATCTGAGAAGTATTTATTCATTTCAGATGCCCATATTTGGATTGGGTCTTTAAATTTGGGGGTCTGATTTTTTTTAAGTTCTTTATATGTTCTGGACATTAGTCCTTTATCTGTGAAACAACTGGCAAAACTATCTTCCCATTCCGTGGGTTGTCCCTTCACTCTCTTGGTGATTTCTTTCGCTGTGCAAAAGATTTTAATAAGATGAGATTCTAGTTGTTGATTCTTGATAATATTTTTCATGTAGTCTGAGTTTTGTTGATAGTCTTTGCACATACTTATGTCTTCAAGAGTTCTACTTATTCTCTCTTTCAACAGATTTACTGTTTGTATTTTAATATTTAGATCTTTGATCCATTTTTATTTTAGTTTATGTAATTATACTACTTAATTTGGGTTGCTAGTAACTGGAATTTTAATTCAAACTGGATTAAATTTTTTTGTCTTTTTGAAACAAGGTCTCACTATGCAGTTCAGGCTGGCCTTGACCTCACTTTGTAGCCCAGACTGGTCTCAGACTCAAACTGTTGTAGTCCTCCTGCCTCAGCCTCCCAAGTGCTGGGATTACAAGCATGCACCACCACACCTGGCTGTAGGATTAAATTTATTGGTTCATTTAACTGAAAAACCTAGAGGTAGTTCAGATTTTACATGTGATTTGAGCTAGAGTTCCTCATATGAGTCTGGGGATGTTTTCTGCCGTATTCTCAGCTCTGCTCTGTGTAGCTTCAGTCTCAGCTATCCCCTTGTAACAACAGCTACTGACCTCCCAGTCCCACCCTCTTATCCCACACCATCCAAGGTAAGAGAAAGTATCAATTCCAAAGTCTTCCATGAAAGGGAGACAAACTATCCATCTCAAAAGTCCTCAGCAAAATTCTCCTTTTGCTCCATTCCTAAACCTGTCAGCAAGGTGTGGGTAACACAATAGGCTAAGTTGCAAAGCTAATCAAAGGTAGTCCAGAGCCTGCAGTAGGATGATTCACTCACAACTCTTGGCTGGAAACTCTGTGTTTCATTAAGAAACGATACAGTAGGAACAGCTGTTTGAAAGGCAACCAGTGTGCCCAGTACAACATCACAGACCTATATCTGTTCACCAAGAAAGATGATTGCAACACACTATACCATAAAAAATGAGATCAAAGAAGAATATGGCTAGTAAGACCCCTGTCTTTAAAAATGCATGTGTGTACATATATATCTAGATGTGTGTGTGTGTGTGGGTGGGTGGGTGTGTTCAGTGATCATTACAAAAGGGTGAGAGTATGGGTGACAATATACTTGTTCACTCATTTTTGGCATCTCTGCTAAAATTTCAGTACAGAGGCAGTCCTAGGTCTGATGTGCAGCATGACCACTAACCATTGCAGTTTCTACTCCTAGAACCCTCTACTTGTCCATCGTTGGGCCTACAGCTGACCACCGCATGTCGCCTGATTGCACATTGTGCAAAGGGTCAGGCCAGTCCCAAGAAACTTCTGTGTACGTTTTCCTTCAATGCCCCCAAAGAATCACAGAACCAGGATCTCTTGCTCAGAATGGAAAATAGTCTATTTTCATTCGTATGCAATTCTAATTTTCACTGGTTCTCTTCCACGTCCCTTCCCTACCCCTTCAAGCCCTCTATCAGCTCCCATGACCTCATCATGGTATTTAGAATAATAGTCTTTTCCCACAGGTCATCAACTTCGAAAATAAATGTATTTCCATCAACGGAAGCTGCAGAGTCACTGAAATTATTATACCTCAGTTCAGAGTCACAAGCTCATTAAAGACTGATTATTGTGCTTTCCAAAAAGAATGGCAGTGGAAGAAGCAAGATGATTCTTTTTTTATGTAACTAAGGAAAGAGATGTATCGGCAGATTAATGTAAAAGTCAGCCTGGGGAGGAGGCTGAGATAGCTGAGACAGCTAAGAGGAAAGAAAAAGAAGTAACAACAACACCTAAAAACCCACTGAAGTCTGGATAAGCATTTCACTGGCCACTGACTTTCACTAGAATGAGCATTTTGGTCAAAAGCATAAAAATGCCAGGATAGATGTCAAGATTTCTAAATTCCACCTTCACCTTACTCCAGCTGAACTGGCCTACTGTTGACCTATGATGTCAGTTAATACAGGAATGGCATGTTTGTCAGCTTCTCCTTCTGTGATGCAATACTTGAGAATTACAGTTTAAAAGAGGAAAGGTTTATTTCAGCTTGTGGTTTCAGAGGTTTAGTCCGTGGTCTGCTGGCTCTACTGTTTTTAGGTCTGAGGTAAGTTAGAACATCATGGCAGAAGAAAGCTGCTCACTTCATGGCATCTGAGAGAGAGAAAGAGAGAGAGGCCAGGGACAAGGTATAGCCCTCCAAGTGCCTGCTCACGTGACCCACTCCTTTCAACTAGACACAACCTCGTGTTTCTATCACTTTCCAATAATGTCCTCAAATTATGAATTCACCAGTGGACTACTCCACTCATAAGTGTGGCACTCTCATAATCCAATTTCCTTCCAAAACTCTATCATTGAACATATGAGCCTTCTGGGAGAAATTTCAAATCCAAACCGTAACAGATGGCAAGTGACTGATATCTCTCCACTGCCTTCACCTACCTCTTCCAGTCACCCATCACTAATCCACGCCAACATCCTTTCCCAGGGAGCCCAGATGTGACCTGAGAATCAGCATCATCCTCCAAACATTTTGTCAAAGTAAGCAAACTTATGCCCTAGCACAATTATGCTAGGCTAAAGAATTCTAAAGTGCTCATGAAATCCCAACATTTGCGCACCTCTCTGCTGACCCTGACTTTATTTGTCATCATGTAACAATCAACCATAGCATTAAGACCATTTATTAAAAACAACTGCTATTGAACACTCACTATAAAGGTGAGATTGAAATAACTTTACATGTTGGAGGGGCTGTCATATGCAGGAGAAAGATAGTATAATATGAGAAAGCCAAGAGATAGGCCTGGGGACCCTGACTGCAAATTACAGGAAGACTAACGGTGCTGCTTACAAGGAAATAGGCTGATCCAAGGCAGGGCATTTCTCTGTCTCAAGCCAAGTGGATTCAGCCACTTTCCAGGAAGGATGGAGAGCACAGATCAGAGGGCCAAAAGTCTGCAGGGACCAGGCAAGTAGTGTAGTTATAGGAGGCAGATCCAGAGCAAGAAATGCCAGGTACGACGAGATTATGATTACCTGAGAGGGCATGTCCAGCATGAAGAGGGTGAAAGTCTCGCAACTCCAAATCTATGCATGTGTTTAACTCTTCCCTTCCCTTTTAGCCTTCCACTTGCCCCTTGTCCTCTCAGGCAAGTCTCTCTTCTGCTGTCTTCCTGACCAGCACCTAGTCGTGTCTGTCTTCATAGGTGCATGTAAAAATAAGGAGATTATAGTGTAAGAGCATAAACAAGGTATCATGGGAATGCAGAACAGAGAGAGATGGATTTGGTATGATGGGATTGATAGCGACGTCCTGAAGAATATGTGCAAAGTTAGAAAAGAAGTCCTTACAAACAGAAAAGCAGCATGGAAAAACACTGGGGGAGGGAAATGTTAAAGCAAAGGGAACATGAAGAAGGAAGAAATAAAGCTAGAAATGGAGGTCCCAAGTAGACCACTAAGGTGTTCAGATCATTTGCAAAGGAATACGCATGGACTTTCTGATGAAGTTTGGAAGGTCTTACACTTCCCCCCACTTCTGAGTGTTCTCAGAATAAACCTCTTGGCCTCCTGCCCTGCTGCCACTCGTGCCTCCTATGGAAGAGGGATGGGAACATAGCACAACTCATCTGATCTGTGCATTTGGGAGGCGGAAATGGGTATGGCTCAGCCCCTGCGGACCTGTGCTTTGGCTCTGGGCTGCTTCCCGTCATGTCATCAAAGGCCAAGGTCCTATTCATGGGGAGACACAGAGGGGGGTCACACTGCCTCCAAACAGACAAATCTGTCGAATTCGGGAGTGGAAATATTTAAAAGCCTTCTTGCTCAATGCACCTAAAACCTGCATTTTCCAAACAGCCAAATCAAGAATAAAGATGAATTTTTGTTCCTTGCTTCTCCGACTCTTGTGTTTCCTCAAATGCTGGAGTTCTCAGGCTTGCAGCTGAGAGGGAGGTTGTGACTGACCACCTTAAGTGTCACCAACAAACCCCTCCCCAGATCTACTGAAACTCAGATTTTGAAACTCAACCATGTGCCTTTTTAAAAGTTTCCAAAGTACTACTTTAGACCCAAAACTGTGTTAAGAACACTAGTATAAGTACTGGGAAAACATAAAAGGTTTTTAAGCAGGAAATGCTCAGTGGAGACTTATAGTTCTACCCAAGTATCTACATTCCCAGTATTCTAAACTCCTAACATTATTTAGAGCAGAAACAAAAGACTACATTTCCCAAACTCCTTTACAGATAAATATGACCATATGACTAAGTACTGTCCAATGAGATGGAAGCAGAAGTGCTGTGGCTGAATATGGGAAATTTTCTTAAAAGGCAGGGCTCTTTCTTCCATCATGCTTCACATCTTCCACTAAACTTCAGCCTAGTATGGATGTGATGAGTCTAGCTGTCAGCATGGACCTCGAGCACCATGGCTGTCCTCTTAGCTTTACAAAGCTAAAAGCTGCAAGGAATCTGGTTCGCTGATTGTCTCTGAACCATTCCATACCAGATAAAGAAACATGTTCTCTCTTGTTCAAGTCTTGTTCAGTTTTAGGTTTTGGTCACTTGCTACTGGACAAGAAATATGAACCAACAGGTATTATCATTGTACCATTTCCTGTGTTGGATATACTCAATCACCACATTGAGGAACCGTAGTGTGTCAGGCACTGGGAACCAAATAAAAGACAAATAAGGCTCTGCCCTTTAATTGCTTACATCCTATTGGGAGATATAGATCATCATTAAGTAAGTAAATAAAATAATTACAAATATAACAAAAGCAATAAACTAAATAAACATGGTGCTGAGAGACACAGCAGAGAAGATGATCACAAGACCTACAGTAGATACAGCACTCAGAGAAGTTGCCCTGAGTAGGCAGCATTTAAATAGAAGCCTAAAAAAGAGGGAAGGAACAGGCCAGGTGAAATGAGGGTGAGTTTTGCATAGAGAGGATATCTTATGTAAAGGTTCTGGAGCAGGAAAAAATCTAATCTGAAAAATAAGCTCAAGATGACCAGTATACTTGGGACATCAACAGAGCAAAACCTATGATTCTCATAGGAACTGGGAAACACCCACTGACGAAGGGAACAAATCCATTTGAACATACCCTGGTAGCCTCTCTTTCAATATTTACACCTTATATAAGATAACTTTCTGAGTCTAATGAATACTTCTGTGAAGCCAGACAGCATATGTTCCTGGCCAAAAGGAGGGAGCCAACAAGCCTTCATAAACTGAGGAGCTGAGGGTGGTGGTAGAAAAACAGATGGTTTTCCTGTTGGGAAATAAACTTCAAGGAGAGAAGAATATGTCCTTTGAGTCTATTCATGAGTTCACAAAGCTCCGCTTTCTTAGTCAAACATACCACACCCTATGAACCTCCAGATATCATCTCTTAGCATTTTTCAGGAATTTCCACTGGAAAGTCAGGATTCAGCGATAGTTTGTCAGGATGGAAAGGCCACAAAAAGAAGAGGAAAAAGAAGAAAATGCAGGACAGAGAAAGTTGTAGTGCTGATAAGAAAGAAGAATTACGGAAGAATCAAAGTTTCTTTTAAAAGGAAGTTGATACCAAGAAAGCACTGATTCTCAACCCCAACGAGGCTAAGACCATGGAGGGACTGGCCCCATCCCAAAGACTGGGGTTCAGTAAGTTGGACATGAGGGCCAGGGAGCTACCTTTAGCAAGCACCAGGTGTTCCTTCTGTCACCAATAAACACTGCCCCACATGGGTGGGGTGAGCAGAAGTGAGGAAGAGCCAGAAGCAGATCAGAGGTACTGAGACTTATCAGGAAATCTGCACATCCTGGAGCTGCATCCTCATCAGATTCCCTAAAGACGCTCTCTGTTGCTTGCTGCATGCCCACTCTGGCATAGTGACCTAGATAAACTCCACTCCTGTATAAATTCCACCTCCCACAAACCCAAGCAACTCATGGCAGCCAGAAAAGAATACCCAGGCAAGGCTGACTACTCTTTCAAGAAAGTTATCCTGACTTTCAAGACACAAATCTCAAATTTCTGCCAATCAGCTGACTAGAGTCAGGATCTCCTCTTTGTGAGGATACCTTATTATGTCTCTCTTGCTCAGGGACCTTGCTGACATAGTTGTCCCTGTTCTCTCCCATAGGAAGAGCCTTTCTTTCACAAGAGGACCATTCCATAGGCCCATAGGCAAGTGTAATATTTCTCATCACCTAAATACCCAAAACTCCCTCCAACTACTCTCCTCTTTCCTCTTGCCTCACCTAGCACAAGCCTCCTTGAAAGAATTGTCTCTTTCCCCAGGCATTGTGTTTGGCCTCTTCTTCAGCTAGGATTCTAACCCTTCCCTCTACAGAAATATCTCTTTCTAAGATTCCCCAACCAGCTCCAGTCACCAAACCAATAGGTGACCAGTGTTCAGCCCCTGTAACTCTTTATTTGCCCCTCTAGCAGCACGTGTCATTGTTGGTTACTCTTCCTTCTTAAAACATCTTCATTAAGCATCTAGGACCTCCCTCATTTGCTGGTTTTTCTGTCAGTTCTTTGGACCTCTTTCTCAATTTCATTTTAACCTCCAGATGTTGGACGGTCACTGGAATCCTCTCTTCCGCACAGGGCTCCCTTCTCTCCAACTTGAATCCTTATCTCTTGATGATCTCATCCAGCCCCATGGATTAAAATATCACCTATGTGCTGACTCCCACATGCACAGATTTAAGTTGTCTAACTTCTCACTTACCAACACTCCTGAATAGCTTTATGCATCTGAAACTTAGTATGTCAAATACAGAATCTTAATTTTCCTCTTGCCTCCCATTGAAACGAAATCTCCTTCTCCAGTCACTCCATCATAGCAAACAGCACCCCAGTCAACAAGACCAGCAGGTTAAAACTCTGTCGTCCTGGACACATCCTTTTCCCCTCACTCTCCCCATCCAGTCTATCAGCAGCTCCTGTTGGCTTCAACATAAAAAATGCATCCTCAATCTGACCGTTTTCCATCACCTCCACCCAACACCAAAGTCTATGCTATCATCCCCAGAGCATGTCAGCTTGTCTGTGCTCCCACTCTTGCCTGGCTCCCATGGTCTGTTCACATACAGCCAGCTGTGCCCTCTGCATTATCCAGTTAGACCACATCAGTTCCTCAACCAGCTCTTCCTCAGTACAGTTGGAGTAAAGTCAAAAGCCCTCCAAAGAGCAATGAACCCAAGGCCTAGCCTGATTTCTTGTCCCCCTCCCCACGTCCTCTACTCTTCCTGTCCACTCTAAGCTCAGACATGCTTTCTGCCCTTCAAACAATCTAAGCTGGTTTTTCTCCACCTGAAAGCTTTTCCCTCTGTGTCTCCATAACTCCTGCCTGCACTTCATGTTTGAACACAAACGTTCCCACCCCAGAGGGTCTTCTCCTCCCCACTGTCTTCTCTCTTCCTTCACCTGACTTTCCTCCACAACACTTGCAACCCCTATAATAGGCTGAAGAATGACTCCAAAACTGTTCACATCCTACATCTGGATCCTGGGGACGAAGTACCTATGCGAAAAGGGGGCTTTGTGGGTGTGGTTAAGTTAAGGATCATGAGACAGGGAGGTTATCCTGAACAGTCTGAGAGGCCCCAGTGAGAGACAGTATGGCCAGAGAAGGAGATGTGGCCATGCAGGAGAGGTCTCAGGAATGTGAGGAAGGGATGCCTTAAGGGATATGAGCAGCTTCTAAAAGCTGGGAAAGACAAGGAAGAGAGCCCTCTACTAGAACCTCCACAAGTAACATAGCTCTGCCGAGACCTTGATTTTTTTTTTTTTTTTTTGGTGCTGGGAATCGAACTCAGGACCTTGCACTTGCCAGGCGGATGCTTGTGCCACTGAGCTAAATCCCCAGCCCGAGACCTTGATTTTAATCCAGTGAGCACTTGGACCATTTACTTCCAGAGCTACCTGATAATAAACTTGTTTTCTTCTGAGCCGCTAAATGTATAATTAATTACAGTAACAATAGGAAACTAATACATTAGCTGAAGTTGTATTGGGTATTATTTTTTAATATCTGTCTTTCCCCAAAGAATGTAAAGTCTGCATGAGGGCAGAGACTTAGCTCATTCCTTGAAGTATTCCTGAAACAGTCTCAGGCAGTAGCAAAATAGTTATTGAATGAATACACAACCATTCTGAATGGATCTTTCTTTTTGGCAA